TCCGAGTACTAGAGAATTATATTTGTTGTGGACAACTTACCTTGCATAGAACTGAATTTAGTACTACATGAGAAGAGAACATTCTTCAGAAAGCATTGAACTTTGATTTTCTTCAAATGGGTTGAAGGATGGCGCAGTATCAACGTATGCAAGACAAGTTCAAAAGGATGCACTTCCAATTATCTAAAAGCTACAGAATCCATTGTGGGAGGAAGCAAATTCAATAGAAGGCAATCGATAATTACTGAGTTTACTTAGCAATACTGGTTTCGTCTGTAGGCGAAAGAGAAACATCCTTGGGAGTTTCTTCTTTAGTTTTGTTCTCATCCTTAACAGCCAGCATCACCAGAAGCATCAACAATGGATAACTCACAGTCATCAGCGACCAATTCACTATCAACTGAGAAAGTAGGCGAACCTTGTGGGTGTCTACTTGCCAAGCAACCGCTGCCCCTGCACTCTGTATTCCCTTGTAGAATCCACTGTATCTGAAATTTGACACTATAAATAGTTAGAACTTAAAGAAATAAAAAATGTTTTGTATGGTTCGGCATAGTCCATACAACACAAAACAAAGGAACCGCTGAGCCGGTATATGGGCCTTTCTCCCATCAATGGCTATTTTTTGTAGTCTAACACTTAGACAACACTCCGGAAAGAATTTAAAAGGAAGAAGGGATGGAGCCAATAGATGTATTCTGCATTACCTGCTGAGTGTCTCGGAATCATCAGCTAAGGCTCCGATTACCCAATAAACCATGCTCTGGAACATGGCATCCAGCAATCCGTAACTGAAGTACAAGACAAAGGGGCCTGCAAAAGTTTTTCCAGAATCCTTGAAATCAAGCGGCTGAGGCAGGTCACTCAATGAGTAAGTGAGCTGCTTTGCAAGACCACCGCCCCAGATGCCGGTGCCGATCACGGTAACAACGGCAATCCCAACAAAACCCCTCATTCTCCTGCTCTTGAAACTGAAATCCATTATGTACCCAATCGCAACAGAACCCAACATCTGCGCTCCCCAGTAGAAGACATTGTTTAGGCCTCTGGTTCTGAGATTGAAGAGGAGGGCGTTTACGTTGTTGAATTGGTAGGTGTAGAAGAAATTGCTCGCCCAGGCGGCGGGGACAATGAGGAGCATCTTCCAATTGAGGAACAATTTGATAATCTCCCGCACCTCCGTGAAGGCACTGGAGTATTTGATGTTGGTACACCTAGTCCCGTCCTCGCGAATTACCTTAATGGGCGGCAGAATGGCGAGGGAAAGCAGTGTCCCCACCGTCATGAAACACATGAATCCGATGTATGTGGCGTCGTTTACGGAAACCGCTTCGGAGCGATGGTAATTGAGGATGAAGGGAATTAGTCCTCCGATGACGCCGCCCATGTTGAAGATGCTCCAGAATAGGGCGATGTAGGTTCCCTTACGATTCGGAGGTGGGTATGAGGTCATGATGGCGCCCTCAGCTGCCCATAGGAGTCCGGCGCCCATACCGAGAAGGGCACCGGCAACAACAGCGAAGGCCTGGTGCTTATGGTGATTATAGTAAAGGAAGGAACCGGCATAGAGAACGTAGGTACTACAACCGGCGGCGAGGGTGAGATGGGGTCCGAGGACATTATAAATCCCGCCACCGAGGATGCCGAAGATGGCGAAAGTGGTGTAGAGAGCGGTGTTGGCGTTGTTGGCAACGGTGTGGTCGACCTGGCCGCCTCCACCCATTCCGGACAGTGCGTTGAACATGCCAGGGCAACAGAAACAGACCACCCCAATGAGGGTCACTTGGACCAAGGGCGAATTGTACCGTAGTCGGGATTTGACAGGCAACTGGGTGACGGATTCTTCATCTTTTCCGTCGATACCCATCGAATCGAGAAAAATGAAATCGGAATTGAGTAAGAGGAAGAAATAGGAAATTTGGGGGAAGTTCTGGGAATCAAGGGAGAAACGATGAAGCACGGCTTTCCAAGTCTGAATGGATCAGAAGAATGAGTGAATTTTTTTTTTTTTTTTTCGAATGAGCGTGATTTTGAAAGGACATTTTTGGTACTAGAAAAATATCATTGCACGGATTATGACACGCCAATGGCCAACGCATTTGTCTGTGTATTATAATATTATAAATGCAAGTGACATTTTTTTTATCTAGTATAACTTGCAGTAGAACATAAAAAATTATAATATGATAGGCTCATAGTTTGTATTTTAATTATTGTTAAAATATTAAACATATTTATCAAGTAGTTTACGAGGCTTAATGGATAAATGCAAGTAATAGGTTCACTAGATTTATAGTTATTAATTAATTTATTTTTTTATTTTAGTTGTACAATAAAAAATAATTATTTAACCACTTAACTATGTATTTAATTTATTGACTAAAAGTTTTAATTTATAATTAAGATAAAAATGTTATAAACATGTGTAATGCAAGTAACGAAAACCCTTATATATATATATTTGAACTTAGGGAAATTTTAAAAAATGGAGAGTAGTGCCTGATTATTAAACTCTAGATTTCAAGTTCTAACACTTTTCACCCAAGGAATAGCTACTAAGATAGTGTTAGACTGAAAACCCTTTTATATAAAAAAAAAATTATAAATACAATTTTAATCGTACAAGCCACATGCATTTTGAAATTTTAATACTACAAGAATAATAAGAGTAATAGTTTTTTTATTAAAATTCATCGCAATTAATGATTGTTTTTTATTCTAATTTCTAAAGGAGGAATAATTTTCCAAAGGAGGAATAATTTTCCGTACTTAATTTGTTGTTATCAGATCCTTCAACTCTAAGTTTAATTATTCATTAATTATATTTCTTTATCTTCATCTTTTTGTTTAGGGAACTTAAACACTGGTAAATATAAATTATCATTAAATATTTTATTTAAAAAAATGATTATTCCACATTATTCTAAGAAAGAGGGAATATATTAGATTAATAATATTGCTATGTAAAAGAAGGATAATATTCACTATTTATTATTATTTTATGGAAGCTAACGAGATTAAAAAGTAAGATAATATTTGACATTTATGGTAAAATTTGGTGATTAAATATGATATTTATTTAGAGTAGGGAATTACTTATATATAAATTTTGAGTTTGTTTATTTTGTGCTTGAGGGTACATGATAATGGTAATAATTGAGTAATTACTGTGATATTTTTAATAAAAAATGTAAAATTTTAAATTAAAAAAATCATTTTTAATTTTTAATTTAAAATAAACTAATAAAAAGTTAATACCTAACATCTACAATTAAAATAAAAATTACTTTCATCATTTTTAAGGTAAAAGGTAGTAATTATTAGATAATAATTACTTCTTATTCTCTACTTATATATAAACTGGTAAATCTTACAAATCATACTTATATAAAATTTCAATCATTTATCTCTTTGTTTTTAATGATTTTTTATTTTTAATAATTGAGATTTGTTCAATAATAATTTTTTATCTAAAAATTCATGATAATTTTAACTATTAAAAATAAAAAAATAAATGATTAAAATTTTATATAAATATAATATATAAACTTATATGTAAATAAATATTTATTTATTTATTTATATTTTGGTTTTAGATTGTTTGACCTCAACTAGCATTACACTTCTATGCCATACAATCTAAATCTAAAATCTCTATTTTAATTAAAAAAAATTTATTGGTGAACTGTTTAGATGATTGGCGTTAAAGACTAAAACACTAAAAGACGCTAGTTGTATTTGATACCATTAAACACTCCCCAAACCGCCGGTTAAAGTCATAAAAAATATTCGGTTCACAAATATTCTAAGAGACCGCTCCATGTTAGTATAGTACATATTTAGTATACTTTAATTAAACTTTTATTATTTTAAGATTATTTAATTTTTCTTTTAGAGAGACCTTTAGAATAACTAGTTAAGTTATCAGTATAAAAATATTTTTTTTATTTGTTTGACTTAGGTTCAAACTCTTATTTCCTCTTTTCATTTCCCTTTTACAAAAATTTCAACCAATAGATTCATAAAAGAAAAACTTATTTAAAGTTTTCATGTATGTTGAACTCAAGTTGGTGATGTTGATACGAATCAAAAATTGACTAATTAACCATGTCCTTATCAAGTGTCCAGCATCTTAAAATTAGTCATACCTTTTTTATAGTCAAAACCATTTGTGTGAAATATAAAAGATACTATAATTTATATATAAATCATCTATTATTAAAGTATAAAAAAAAATTTAGTTAACCTCTAAGAAAAAAAAAGTGTTGAAATATATATAAAGTTATTTTAATATACTTCATAAATTATTCATATATTAAAAAAAAATATGTAAAGTAATTGATTAAATTATTAATATAAATATACTTTTTTACTCATATTATTAAGATTTAAATCATTATTTTCTCTCTCCACCCTGACGGAAGATTTCAACTAAGAGGAGTGCTAGGGGCACTCGCCTTCTGCACTCTCCGGCCAACACTTTCACTTTTATTGGGCCATGTTATTTTGGTCGGTTAGAGATTGCCTCAAAGCCTGAAACAAGCTTACGTGGCCCAATGAAAGGGGAAGTGTTTGCCGGAGAGTGCAGAAGGCGAGTGCCCCTAGCACTGCTCTTTCAACTAATTGAGTTGTCTCAAAAATAAAAAAATATCCATACATATTGATTTGTTAAAAATATTTAAGTTCTTTTGTGAATATTCTTTTTATTGTTCAACTTGTCAACTTAAAATCCCGCATCCCAATCAAAGTCATACTTTCAAAAACAACCGCCCCCCATTTTAGAATTAGTCAAATTTATCCTTATCCTAGATAATGTGATTTCATACGTGCAAATTCTTCATGCTATTTTCAAACGTATCTTTCATCTCCAGCTTCAACTTGTGATTTTATTATGTATAAGTTATGAATCATGAATGATAATTAAGTTATTTTTGACCTGGAAAACAAGCTGGGTCTTACATTTCTATCTCATTTTTTCCTTCTTGTCATCACTGGTCGTCCGGATAACTGGCCGGCCGGCTTTCCAAGTGCATGCTCGCTTCTTCTCCCCAAAGGAGAAGTCTCTTTTTTTCACATGGAGGGAGATGGTCTTTTTCGTGTAATATTAGTAACTATATTTTTTTTCCCTTAATTTGGAATAATTAAGAAGTGTATTAGATTATTTCAAGCATAGGGTCCGCAAACATATTTTGCCAAAATAGACTCCCTCCTTAATTATAATTTAATAACTTTAAAAGTTAGTTATATATATCTTATCTTTGTGGATCCTACAGTAGATAACTGGTGTAGGCACTTAATTTTAGAAAAAAATAATTATTATATTTTTTAATTCAACATACCTATCAATATTCACTAATTCAATTATTAAAATTTATCTTTAAAAATTTTTTTATCTTAAATTTAAATTTAAAAACAATAATTTTTTAATAAATATATTAACAAATGTATTGAATCAGAAAATGTAGTAATTATTATTTTTTAAAAAAATATGCAATCAAGTTTAATGATCTGTCACTTTT